CCGGTGACGTCGAGGAAGGTGGCGTTGGTGTCATTCGAGAGACGCGTCAGGATTCTTCCACAGACTTCAACGGTTAGGCTGCCCGTTTTGTGTAAAGAGGCTTGTCGAGAAAAAAAATCGCTCCTTAGTTGTTCCCCCCTCCCGTCCCTCTCCGGAGAAAAATGCTCTTTCCGGACAGGTATCATTTTAAGTTTATTTTGTCTTTGGAGATTGTAAATACTAATTACATCCATAGTCTTGATTTTTATGGTGAGAAATGCATTGGAAATGAGTTTCGCAAATTAAAAGACCAACACCAACAGCCGCTTCCCTCCCAATGGCTGGCAGAGTAAGAGTTGTATAGCCCACTAAGCTTACAAGCACAACTTTTCTTTTATGTTGATAATACTGTAATGTAATAAGTTAATTCACTTTGTAGGTGTTAGAGAAAAATAAAAAAAATACAAAAAGATCTCTTTTTTTAAGTGTAATAAAGTATTGACTCCAAAACCTCACTAGAATGTATTGTTGTAAGAACCAGTACAGGTCTTTCCTTTACAAAATTGTACACACTGTACACAAGATAGGGATAAAATGTAACAGCACACTCATCGTTCTTTGTACACACTCAGTCCAACTGTACACAGTTTTGCAGTTTGTACTATTTTCATTTATTACATTCTGCATCATATAATTATCTTATAATTCCGCGTAAATATGTATACTGTTTTTAAGTTATAATAGGCATTATATACACATGTCATAGTTACAAGAATCCCAATCCCTAAAATTGTTAAAAAATAAAAAACAACAAAAACGATTTTTCATGTGCTACCACATACTACAAGATACAGTATGTATGTCTAAAATGGTAGAATGGTACTAGAGAATAAGTTAGGAGTGGACACAGGTATATTGGTACACAAAGAATCAAAAAATTGATAGATACTCTAAGTAGCAACATTTATCGCCTTTTTCACACCATCTTCACACACAAACTCTAACATTCATTCATACTCCAAAGTCAATCTCCAACAGTCCAAATGAAAATTAAAATAATTTAAGTCTGACCATTAATTCCAGTGTCTTGCAGAATAGTAAACCTACAATGCAAAACCTTGATGGACAAAGACATGAATCATTTAGCATTAGATTTGTAAAGTATTTGATGTTGATCTTTGTTCTACAGATTCTACCTAATTATTTAATAAATAACATTTAACTAAAATTTGGTAAGGTGGTGTGACAGAGAAAAAAGGCTGGGAGTGGGGAAGCAACCACCTGGAAGTCAACTCCTATCCTGTTTCCAGCACCATCTACCAAACTTTGTCACACCTATAAAAATAAATTCCACTTATCTCAAGTTGTGAGTTTGTGTAGTACAATCTCTCAACCTTAGTTCATTGCTCCTAGGTACCCATCACAAATGTTGGTGGCCATATTAGAGCAAGGTAACCATAATTAATCCACGGCAACACCCTCCGAGCGGGTAGTGTGACAAGTTCAATTTCGATTTTAAGCAGTACACTGGAGATCCAACACCTTCTATTTCAAATACTGTATCACAAATTGGATCTGAATACTGCAATGTACATTTATTGGAAGTTCATTCACATAAATAAGATATTACTGTGTCTTTGACAGTAGGTAGCAAGCTTGTTTGACAAATGAATGCTTGAGCTAGTTGTCAAAAGCAACTTCATGGCTCACTGCCATTTGCGAGGAAGACAACTCCACAGCACCACAGCAGATCACAGCGCCCCACTTTGGCAACTGTCCAACACAAATTCATCTAAAAAAGAACTGAGAATTGACCTAAAACTCATTCTGACAAACACTGCCAAAATCAGTTCATCCAGAAGTTACTTAAGAACTCCAAAAAAGTTAAACTTAACATGCTCCAACAGAGATAAATTTGTTTAAGTAATGTAAAAGTTTATAATAAGGCAAATGGTCTTATGCAACATGGATAGATATCAGTCATTTCTACAATTTAAGCAGCTGCCAAAAGTATTTGTTCATAACAATTACAATTCTTTGTAGTAATCAAATGGTAAGATCATTCTGCTTGAGAAAACATTGGGTAAAAATACACTTTTAAAAAAAGGCATGTAAAAAAAGTAACACCCATGATCATGTTAACAGAGCAGTAGGTATGATAGAAATTAAATGATAAATATACTAAATATGTACCATTGTTTAGGCTTAAAATTCAGGTAAAAAAAAAAAAAAAAGGTGTAGTATGATTTGCTCATACTTTCAAACTATAGTGTAAAAAGTTTAGGACAGTTAAAAACACAATAAATGATTCTCAAAAAGATACAGAATACTCCAGAAAGAAGCACACAACAGATTTAACATGAAAAAATATTTTGCTCAAAAATGTCAAAAGCTAACAATGCAAGGAACTACACATACTGATCTAAGTACTTGCTCTTGAAAGACAACACAGAGATTGTAAATATCAACATAACTTACGCAGAGAAACACATAACATGGAAGGTTAATGAAGTCATTGATTTAAAAAAGCGATAGAAACAGAAGAGAGGGAAGGAAGCTGAAAATAAATATCTTTATATAGCAGAGCTTTAAGTTAATGAGACCATCAATAACATAAGGGTTAAAAATAGCAAGATTGCACATATTAGCTACCATAATGCTTTCAAGTCATACACTCGAGCTTTCCAAAAGCAATGGATAGATAAAAGGCACAGTGATTTCAGGATGTCACTTAGCTTCAACTTTGCCCTTAAAATTGTATACAACCACAAAATAATTTGAAAAATTACTTGAAAACATGTAAAGGTTTTTCCCAATGCTAAAAGATCTAAAAATGGAACGAGTCCAAGTTGATTGATTACAAGTATGCACTTTTGACCGCACGGGCGTGCGCAAACCTACCCACACACACACTCACACTTGCATACAGTACGTACACACACTCATACATACACACATACCTACATACATTCATACCAGCAAATTCACAACAATATATAAAGCTAAATATATAAATAATTACATAATTTATATGTTCAATGCATTTAAGAAATTACACTACAAAACTTCATTTAATTAATGAGTAGTGCAACACTCATAAAGAAGACTAATGTCCCCTGGATACAAGCCTCCAACCTGGGAAAAAGGGGGAAAAGATATGAGGAGGGAACTAGCACTACTAAATCTTTAAGACACAATGTTCCATTACAATTCAGCGGCATGAAAACACATTTTTCCTAGGATTAAACTTAATACAGCAAGTATTAAATAGTTAGACACTGATGGTCTTATCCACATTTTCAAATCACAGCTAAAATTTGGTGAGGGATATTAATTCATTGCTAATCATTCAACATGTGACTGGTGTCACACAAGTGTTGATGTCATATGGTAAAGCTGCATCAACACTTGCATATGCACTGGGAGACAAGACAAACGATCATGGGAATTTGAGTCCAGGCCAAGCCATGACAGAGAATTATAGCCCTCAAGAACGTATCTGGAAAAAAAATAATCATTAAAATACTGACAACAGGACAGTTAACTTGTATTTTACTGGGACAAAAAAAATATAAGGAACACACATACCTGAGGACATCAGTCGTGATCTGTGAATCCAATGGATGAACGCTGACTTGTGGTTGCTGATTGTTGAGCAAGTCCTCTGAACTGTGCTGTATGGTGTGTAGATGAAGAGCATTCTTTAAGAAACATGGACACACATTCTCAAGGTGCGGACATGATGCCCAAAACCATGATGGCATTGGACCAGTAGGTGCAGTTGACACTAAATAACCCAGAGCTAGAGGCTGCTGGAGTATATTTCCAACTTCCTCTTGAGGTTCACTTCCCTGTTAAGTGCAGAAAGCAACATTATTATATATTATTTTAATTAACGGTAACGACTAACAGTATAGGTGTTTATGAAGATGGATAGAAGAAAGCTACTCACCCTTGCAGGAGTGTGGCAAGGGTACGGACTTCCAGAAGCATCTGGTGTTGGACTGCTTGGATTCATACCACTAGGAGAATCTCTACGAGGTGAATTTCCTGGACTGTGAACTCCAGTTCCATTGTCTTGCCAATTAAAGATGTCAAAACCTCCCAGATCATCAATGCCTTCAGGCATATCACCTTCATCCAAAAATACCATATCCAGTTCTCCAGGACCATTAATATGCTGCTCTTGAAAGGCTGTTTGTGAGGACTGTAAACAATAAAACAAGATTTAAAAAAACATAAAATACATACTTTCTTTATAATAATTAATATTGAAAAGTATAACATCATGAAATATGAGGTGAAAGGTGACCAAGATCTCACCTGAGTTGTGGCTGAAGTAGGAAACACAAGAATGTGTGTACATGTGACATCTTGAGGAGTTGATAATTGACAGTTTACAGATGTCTGACTAAACCGTTCATCAGGAGTAAATTGATCAGGCATAAGTCTCAATGCGGAATCAGGTTCTAATGAGACCAAACATGCACTCAGGATGCTTGGAACTGTGTTGGTTTGTAGCAAATTACACTGTCCACATATCTCTTTCAGGTGTTTTGATGCTTTCACCAAAGCTTTACGGCTGAGAAGACCACTCCATCCTGTCACAGTAAAACAAAGTTACAAAATTGTTGATAGCTTTTTTCAAGTATCAAAATAAGATGTAGGCTAACCTTTCAGTTCACCGTGGCCAATGCGTCCGATTCGCCCAACAACAAGACGCCAAGGTCTCACACTTTGAGACATTACACCCAGGATGAAGTCCATGAGCTTCTGTAAGCCGATACGTCGGGCCGAGGCCTTTTTCCGTCTGGACCGATTGGGAATGTGAATGTTGATAACAGCAGTGTCCAAAATGGCTCCTCTTTCATCAGTGGCTGATGCTAATAGCCAACGTTGATCTTCCGAAAGGCAGTAGCTTAGATAAAGAACACAACACTCTTCAGCTGCTTCAGCAGGGTCTGACTTCTCTTTCACAGGAGCCAAGATGAATGGAGGTGAGTACAGGCGATAAGGCGCACGGCTCTTTTCCTGCTGACAAAATTATAAGGTAAATCTCCAGTCCACAGACAATAAAAAGAAAGTCATAACATTCCAACTCACGATAGCTGTGGGAAAGATAAGATCACTTACGTCTTTGTTCTTCAGGAATAGATCACCAGTTGCTGCAGGACCAAAGCCAGTAAGTGCTTTGACATTGGAGGTGTGTTGCATAACCCGACGACATTGAGAGTATACTGAGAGTGCAACACTGCGCATGTAATCACTTCTTGCACAGGACTTGCTTTGCTCGACAATACTCTCCAAGGAAACCACCTGTACAACATGGATAGATAGATAAAGTTTGGGGAGAATTATAATCTACAGATATTAAAGTAGTTTACTCCTTTAACAACATACCTGAACAGCCATATTGTTTCGCAAGTTTTCTGGCATAGCTTGTACAACTGTTGAAAAGCATTTCAGTAAACCAATACATGCTAGCCGTTCAACTTCTGAGCTTTCTGATCCAACAGTAAATGGTTCAACAAGGTATATGACAACAGCTGGTGGCTCCCTTTCTTCATCATCTAAGTGACTACTATCTTGGGAACTGCCAACACCCGCCAGCGGGTCGCGGTTTCCGTCCCCATCGTGATCACTCTTAGGAGTATTAGGACCTTTGTCACTGTCAGCACTAGGTGGAGGCATGGGAGATGGAGCAGGGCGTTCCACAGTTTTGAGTTGCGGCCCATCTGACGATTCCAGGAGTGTCTTGTCAAAGGGCATAGTTAATAATTGTGGAACCAAGTGGTGCCGACAAACCTTTAGGAAAACAAAAAGAAGAAAATAGGAATGAAAAAAGTTCAAACAAGGGAAAATTGTAACATATCGATACAATTCTGAAATGTAAGTGCTTCTTACTTGAGCATATAGACGTAACATATTAGCGGTTGGAGTGTCTCCTAGCATCTTAAACCAGTCGTCTATAGGCTCCTTGCCCAATTTCATAGCAGCTGAGCTTCCTACACGAAGAATTCCATCCCTCAAAACCTTGGTTATAGGGGAGTGCCTACCTAATCTGCAGACCTAGGAACAAAAAATTTTGAGCGATTAATATATAACTATATAAAATACTTTAATGTTGTTTTATTACTATGTTACATATGAATATGATACTAACCTCATACACTGTGCTAAGCTCTTTGAAAAATCCTCTACACCGATTGATAACAAAATCATTGTCTGGAGCAACCACAATATATGCAACATCTCGTGAGTATGAATAAGGCTCAAGCAGGAGTTTTTCCCAGTAGTGAAGAGCATATGGGGAGAGTGATAGCCAATCCTTCTCATAGCCAACCATCATTGACGGTATTGGCTGAGGCTCACATCTGTCTTCCGTACCTAAAAGAAAAGCAAGATGTTAGCATTCCCTCACCCAAAAGAGATTTAAAAGATATAATTCATACATTTAAAGGTGAACGGAGTGTCAAATTGTATTTACCTCTACCAGCAAGACGGTGGAACTGCCTCCAAGTTAGAGGTCCAGCAACTGTGTAAGGAGCCTCCCACAACCCAGGTCTGTACTTCTTCTGCACAGCTTCTTGAAGCTGTGGCTGCAGCGACTTCATAACCCGAACTATATCTTGGCTGCACTCAGGACCAGAGGCACGAAGGAAAGGCCATCGATGCATGCAGGGAATGCGTGCAGCAGCGACCATGAGACCTTGCTCCACAGCTACCCAGCTTGCCTCATTGCTGTCTCCAAGTTCTAGAGCATTCACAGTCATAAGAGGAGTGGCAGAGGAAGATTTTTGGGCTGCTTTGGTCAAAGCACTTGCAGGACTTCGCACAATAACACCACATTGTTCTTTCATCTAAACACACACAGAAAAGAAAAGTTAGTTTTTTCACCAGACAGTAATTGAGGCAGAGGATGTTACCAGACAGTGAAAAGTACTAACCAAACTGAGGACATCTATTGGTCTAACTGTATCATTAATATCATTTGACAGTCCATTAATTAGAGTCATAATGTCTAAAGCAGGAATCCCACTGCGCATATTGGTAATATTTGGTTCATCAGAAAGTCCAGTAATTTCATATTCATCTTCATAAAAGAGGCCAGCTCGATGAGATAGTCTTCGGTTTACAACAGCAGAGAAGCCACATGTACATCTGGTAGAGTCATCTTCATTAAGAGGATGAGGCCCATAGGGTGCTAAGTATACACCAGCATCAGCACCTCTGATAGTACCAACAACCTAAAGAGGAAATAAAAGTATTATTATGAGTCCATAAAATAAATACAGAGAATTCTTCAGTCAGACATCACTGCTTACCTTTGGATCATCACCATTGCACACACACAATGTGCAGCTGTCGAAATTGTGATCACGGAAAATATTTAAAGCTGTGTCACTGAGGAGTATGTTCATTATCAATGAATTGACCTCTGTGTTGCAGACTGTTTTAGGGAGATATGATGACACAGAAGACGGCGCAGGACTGTACGGTGGGGGAGGTCCTGGAGCTGGAGGAGCAGGAGGCGGGCACACTGGAGTGGCCCGATGAGACTGCATTACACTAGGAGACTGAGGGAAATGTGTAGCTGGTGATATTGGAGAGAGGCCTGGTCTGTGTGGCATTGGAGACATTCCTGGTCGATGTGGTGTCATAGGTGTGTGAGGTGTATGAGGAGTGCTGGGACCTTGTTGGATTGGTGTGGGGGGCTGTGATGGACGGTGAGAGTGTGGAACAGGCGGATGGTGGGGATGATTGTGATGGGCATTGGTAGGTGATATATGATATGACTGCAAGACAAAAGAGATTTTATACATTAATTTTTTTTAAAAAAAACATCACCTGTAAAGTATGTAATTGTTAAGAATAATTACCTTGATGCTGCTTTTTCCTGAACAGGTGGATAAAGCCATGATGGCTTGTATGAACAATTTCCTGGCAATGACACAGGGGGCAAGTGTTGACTGGGAAGATCCCTCAGAGGAGCATATTTTGAAGAGCCTACAAATTTATAGAGTGTTGGAGGGCGGAAAACATAAGACCAATCCTGAAAATAGAAAAAATATAAATAATTGAAAAAGGGAAATATACCCTGGAGGTCACAAAACAAAGGATGGAAAAGAAAGAGACATACATCAATTACTTCTTCCTGAGGACTGCCCATATTTGGGTAAATTTCTTGCTTAAACCGAGCTACAGGAAGCTCTGTGAAATCACACCGGTCAATATCAGTTTGACCTCCACAAGGAGAGGATGCAGGGTTGTGTTCCAATGATGGTGGGGTAGGAAACATTTTGGAGAGTTCTTCTGGGCGTAGAATACGTGGACCGCGCATGTTGCAGGAATTATCTTCATTCCCTTTCGAGCCAGGAGGAGTAGGTACCTGCATCTGTAAAATCAAAAATTCCATATTAACCCCCATTAGATTAATTAATCTTTATGCAGCTTTGAATTAATGGAAATAGTCATAGTGTTTTTTTTTTGCAGATAGATTAACCAAAGGTTCAGGAGGAAGCTTTGGAGACAGTTTTATAGCAGTATAAGAGTAAAAATATCACAGGAGTTAACAAATGATGGAGAGAGAAACCAATTTTTTCAAATAAAGAAGATTTAAACTTTTAATTAGTAGGTCATCATATGATGCACTCAATCCCTCTTAAAAACTGTAACTATTTCTATATTATTGTGTTTTGAATATCAATATTTCATTAGGATATATTAAGCAAAAATATTACCAAACACACACACCAAACTCACTAACTAATGTAATCCCAAATAGAAAAAAAAAAAGGATCTATCACTAACAGCCATAGCCATTGATAAAGAAATTAAAATTATCATAACAGAACCTGTCGCATGCTAAAATGTTGGTTTGAAAGAAAAATTTAAGATAGATAATACTATATTACAAAAAGAGCAACCTACTGACATACCAACCTTTTAAAGGCAAAAATAATTAAATGCACAATGAAAATAAAAAGGATAGAAAAAGAAAAAATCTGTTGGAAGAAAAAAACAAGTAGTTTGGTTGTGGTTTGGCATATCTGGAGTATGTTCTGGGCCTGAGTTATTTGAACTACGAAGTTATAGAAATAAGGCAAAAATTGTTCACACAAATTTTACTGTTTCATTTATATGACGGAATGCTCAGCCAAAAAATTAGGCACACTACATAAGATGCACCCAGGATGTAGATATGTAACATAATAGAACAGTCTTTCCAAAGCTTTGCCACCTCACATACACTTGGTAGACAATAAACATCTCTGCTAAAGATGCTTACCGTTTCATCACTTGACGTATCGGAGTTGTCAAATATCTGGTCGAGGTCGCGGAATGAGGCTTGGAGGCCTTCACTGGTGAAAAGGCTACCGGATAAACATTTCCCCGAATTGTCCGCTCGATCATCCTCCTGGGAGCACAATACACACATATTCCCACATAGACTCAGACCATTTTGGAGCAGTATAGTACTTTATCAATTAAAAAAAAATTAAAATACTAGATGGATAAGGTAAAAAGTAATAGGATAATAAAACAGAAAACATATCTCAAGGTTAGATGGATGGACCTTTTGCTTTTCAAAGGGATAAAAGGGAATAAAAGGAATAGCCAAGATCTAAATCAGAATAAAAGCTAATCTTGACTGTATGTTTTGGTCTAATTGTAAATGAATGCATAATATTTAAAGCCAACTGTATTGAAATTGACATTGGAGGCAACTGTGAAGTACAAATGAACATACATGCAAGTGTAGCAGACAGAAAAAAGTGGACAAAGCTGTGCAGAGCATGGAAAACAGACGCTGTGAATAGACTGAATATCAACTATGACTGCAATTATACAATTTTCATTTTTCTTAACCTTTACTTTGCTAAAAGCTTATATGTGTGATTCTTTTGTTTTTCACTCAAACTATTAGACTGATGTGGGCAAGCTATGAGTATGGTACATCTAAGGTAGTATGGTATGTGTATGTTTTGAACATGTGTAAATGAAAATATGTTTGTAGTCTGAAACCTCATTGAATATGTACATAGTTTGACAGATTTTAGATTTGGAAAGCATAGTTTTTTGTTAATAGTTTCAAGAAGTGCTTTTTACCTTCCTATTGTACATTATAAATTCATAAACACTAAACCCACACCAAAAAAGCACCACACCCCAAAGGGAAAGGTCAAGAGACTCAGTGTCTCAAATAATTTGTATTCAAAGCATGAAAGGAAATGAGAACAGAGAAGAACATAACTGATAACCAAAAAGTTAAATAATGTTAAATGCCTTTCCACAAAGTTCCAATTGTGAAATTCAACGCAGATTTCATTTCAATGGAATGGAAAGACATTGGTGCGAGCCAGAATGTAAGCAAAACGCACCTTCACGCCATTATTCTGGCGTTTGAAGCCTTCCTTGGCTCCAGATGCATTGTGTTCCTCGTCAAACTCGTATGGGTCACTGTCACACTGCAACAGTATCAAGATGTGTGGGCTATTATAAAATAAAAATATTGTTGGACCCACCAGAACTTTGGCACTACGTAAGCTTGTGGTACAGTTGAATGGAGGTCGTGTCAATGCATGCAAAACAGAAACAAAACAAAGCGGCAGGCTCTAAAACAATCAGCACAACATCATCAGTCTGCCGACACTATGGAAGCAAGTTAAATACAACAGAGAATAGAATAGAGAGAAACACAAATAGGGATCTTATAAGGTAAGATCAATAACTACAAAAACGTGCAAACAAGGGATTCACCTAAAACTACGGTGCTTGCTATGACACGAAGGAGAAGTTCTGTGACTAGAAGGCCAATATTCTTTAATCTAACCAAATCTTTGGAAACAATACTTGATATTTCCAAATTTCAAGGGTAATTTTAAGTATTGACCGAAACTATATAAAGAATTAATTAAAAAGGAATTTGTTGGATTGGTGTGGGGGGCTGTGATGGACGGTGAGAGTGTGGAACAGGCGGATGGTGGGGATGATTGTGATGGGCATTGGTAGGTGATATAT